CTATTACAAGAGGATATAGACCGACTGCACTCTTGGAGCAACAGTTGGTGTAGGAATTTCAACCCCCAAAAATTTGTTGCAATGCACATGCTATCAGCAAGACGACGCAGAACTGCAGTCTCGCGACATATCTTGGGAGGCCAACCACTTGAAACCGTAAGTGTGCAAAGAGACCTAGGTGTTTTTATTAAAGACGACCTAAGTGTCACCGCACAGTGCTCCAAAGCCGCAGCGAGAGCAATGTCGGTCATGGGCGACATACGAAGGACGTTCGTTAACCTGAATACTGATATCATCGGAAAAATATACGGAACGTTCGTGCGGCCGCATCTGGGATATGCGATACAGGCTTGGCGGCCCTGGCTTCAGAAAGACATTAGGATTCTCGAAGGTGTTCAACGACATTCTACCAAGGTGGTCCCTGAACTTAAGTAGTCCACATATGGACAGCGGTTAACTGCTTTAAATCTCTTTCCCCTCCATTATAGAGAAGACAAAGGGGACCTTATAGCAACTTTTCAGTTACTAAGGGGAACTGGTCCGGATGTCCAATGGGAGGATCTCTTTCAAATGGCCCCAAGAAGGAACCTCAGAAGACATGACTGCCAGTTGAAGAAGCAACTTAACTGAACAAACCAACGTTCATCCTTCTTCTCTCAAAGGGTCATTCGACAGTGGAACTTTTTGCCAGAGTCTATTGTGCATTCACCCACTGTGAACGTCTTCAAGAGATCTTTGGATAAGCATTTGTTAAAGCCCAACAGCCACCTAACATAAATGACGACAGACACTACAAACAAACATACTACTCGTTTGATTTCAATAGAGGTTTTATTTACACCAAAAAATCACAAGAGGAATATGTCATACTGGATATACAGTGAACTTTTTGTACGCTGCCAGTCCGCAAACGCCTAACCTTCTCAACAATTCATATTTCCAAAATATTTCTATGCATTTTTGCACAACAAACGCGAACTTTAACAATTTTTGCATATTTCACAACGACTTATACATTCCTGTACCGTTTCAATGGAGTTTTTAAGGGCTTCGGTCACTTACTCCAAATATACTGACTGATACTGACTGAAGGCTGTGCAGCAACTCTCCAGCAGGAAAGCACCCGGATCCGATGCGAGCCCTGCGGAGATTTACAAATACGACGGCCACCAACTTACATCCCACCTAACCACGCTATCTTTGGAGATGTGGCGATAAGGTCAAATCCCCTATGACTTCAAGGAAACCACAATTGTCCACCTCTACAAGCGAAAGAGGTCCATCAACTCTGCGACCATCATCGCGGAACTGTCCTGCTGGATAATTCCGGGAAAATCTTCGCTCGTGTTTTCCTGAACCGCCTCGACGACCATCTGGAACACGAGCTCCTGCTAGAAAACCAGTGTGGTTTTCATCGCCATCGCGGCACCACCGACATGATCTTCGCCGCGAGACAGCTGCAGGAGAAGTGCTAGGAGACGTGCACCCACCTCTACGCTACTTTCGTGGACCTGAAGAAAGCATTCTACACGGTGGATTGCGAAGGACTGCGGAAAGCCATACAGAAATTCCGCTGTCCTGAGCACTTTATACACATGGTACGTCGGCTCCACGACAACGGGACGGTTTCCGAGACCTTCGCAGTGACCAGCGAAGTGAAGCAGGGCTGTGACCTCGCACATACCCTCTTCAGTCTCATGTTCTCTGCCACGCTGATAGATGCCTACACTGACGACCGTCCCATGTCGACATCAATTACACAACGGAAAGGCACCTCCTTAACATCTGACGTATGCAGGCTCCTACGCGCGTCTCCACGACCACAGTTCGTGATCTCCTTTTCGCGGATGACTGCGCTCTCAGAACCACAACAGAAGCGGACGTCCAAATAGCATGCAACTCTTCGCCGCCGAGTATGCAAACTTCGGTCTCACCATCAACACGAATAAAACGGTACTTATACATCAGCCACCACCCGGTGTTGTTCCAGGCATCAATACCAACGGCGCCGATCTCAAAAATGTGGACAACTTTGTCTATCCTGTCAGCACGTTATACTACAACACCAGAATCGGCGACGCCGTTGTTCGTCGGATCTCCAAAGCCAGTCAATCCTTTGGCCGGCTTCACTTCTCCGTGTGGAACCGTCATGGCCTCCAGCTATCTACGAATTTGAAGTTGTACAAGGTCATTGTCTTCACGACACTCCTGTACGGAGCGGAGACTTGGACCGTCTACGCCAATCAAGCTCAGAATCTGAACCATTTCCACCTCAGCTGTCTCCGCTGAATACTTAAGTTGAGACGGCAGGACAGGATTCCGGAGATGGAAATCCTAAAGAAAACGGGAATCTTCAGCATCCACGCCATACTGAGACAACTACAACTGCGATGAAGCGGCCACCTGGTACGGATGGACGACCAACGACTACCCAAGCGACTGTTCTACGGTGATGTCGCTGTGAGTGCTCGCCGCAAAGGAGGACAACAGTGACGCTACACTGACACTCTAAAGAACTCCCTGAAGCGCCTTCAAATGAGCATGGCGATCTGGGAGGGCCTTGCGCACGAGGCTAGTGAACTAGTGTCTGGAGCATCAACACACAGCACAGACTGTTTCCTACACTGCCCTCGCACCTCCACTCATCGCCTGGGCCTACTAGGTCACATGCGCATACATGACGACATACCCAGCACATCCATCACCAGATTCAGTCCCACCCATTCAATCAGCATGACCACCGCCCGATCAACCAAAATCAGCTCCGCAGTCCCAAAACACAACGACTTATCCTGTCCTCATTGCAATCGCACATTCACCTCACGCATCGGCCTGGTCAGTCATTTGCGAAACCATCACACAGAGACTGGAGAACAATTGCCTGGGGCCCCGGTATACAGTCGCGACACTCGTCTTCACTGGCCGCATTGCCCACGCATATTCACTCATCGTATGGGTCTATTAGGCCACATGTGCCTTCAGGAAAACTTGCGCTAAAATACCACTGACTATACCACATCATTATGTCGCTCTGCATTAGTATCTCCATCACCTTCATCTCACCGACAAAAATTCACTTCACATACAGTGCGCTACCAGTACACCTATTGAAAGCCACCTATGAGTCTCATCGATCAGCTAAACAACGTCCCCGCTGACTTAAGCCAGTCCACGGAGGCACTGATCATCGTCTTATCATCACCAAGATACAGATTCGCTTTAAACTATACAGGTGACTAAGGTAAGTGGCCCCCAGGTAAGCTGGATACTGTTTTTCTGAATTTGCCTGCTAACCATAAAAATTATTGTAATTTGTTTTACGTTATCTTAGGTACTGGTACTACTACGTATGTTTACTAAAATTAGCACCACTAGTATTGAAATATTATTGATCTCAGCAATAAATTAGGTTTAGCTCAGTCCTAGCAATATCAGTCTTGTTATTCGATGCTTGTTGTTATTTTTTGTTACTATTAGTCTTATTGGCGTTAGCATTATTAGTACTGTTAGCCGCAGTAATAACTGCAACAGTAAAATTTTCAGCTTAGCTTTTAGCGCCAACAGAAGTTTCCTCTCCGAAAGCTTTTAGCACTCCCAAAAGAACCTCTACCGAAAGGTAAGTCGTGTTCTAATATTCTCTTCTTCTCCCACACAACCTGCTTCACAAAGTTCACCTCCAGCTCGATTGCTTTTTACCACTGCTAACTGACGAATTTACCAGACACATCATCAGCCCAGTGTGAAGTGGCTGATGAGTGGACTAAGGGTCAGAAGGCGATGACTCTTTTTAATCCCCTGATTGCATAAATCCTGGTGTGTGTGTGTGTGTGTCAAGGATGCCAGGTC